ATCCCATTTCCAACGTCAGCTGGCTGTCTCACACTGTGCAAACTACAGTACTGCATAAGGATTACACAAGACAATGCTCGGCGTTGGCACACAGAAAATGGGTAAAAAATGTTGGTCCTCCCTAATAATGATACACTAGTACAACTGCTGTTCATGGTGTGAAGTCTTGGGGGAGGGAAGAGTGGTGGAAGGGGAGGAAACAAGAATGAAGACATGTTATGTAGCTGTACCAACTCCCCATGATGGATGTAATCATTATGGACTGCAAACACATACTAATAAAATTTTTAAAATAAATAAATGAAGCCAGACAATGGTAAAAACAAAAATGTGAAGTGTGTAGTGACGGCAATTCTGACCCATGTAGTGAGCCTAAGAGTGAGTTCCAAGAAAAGTTGCTGCTACTTAGGGAGGCAGCCCCGGGCTGAGGAGGAGGCAAAGGAGGCACTTGGCCTTGCTACCCAGGTGTGCAATCAGGACTCCTCTTCTCTTGGGAGAGGGTCCAGGGAGTTCAAAGATGGCTGGAGGCACAAGTGTAAGTCAGAAGCCTCTCCAAGCCTCTTTCGTAGAAGGCAATAATACTGCTTGCCTCACAGACCCGTGGTAAGGATTAAAGCAATCACTGCAGAAAATAGCATTGCACCTGGCCGCTTTGTTTGTGTTTGTCCTGCCTATTCTCTTCTTGCACTAAAAATATCATAGCACCCCATGATTCCAGTAAGCCTTCGCCATGATGGAGGAGAGAACTACGGTAGAAATGTACGTATGTACTTGTCTGTAGGGAGCAAAGGTTTAGAGAATCCAAATGCAAAGTTTAATTTGTTTAGGGCCCTTTAATTATTGGTTATTTTGTTGGCTTCTTTATTAAATCAAAGGGCTTAATGTCTGATGCAAAATTTTAACCACAGTAGACAGCCAAATGTGTTAAAATGTATCCAATGAATATTTTAGGTGGGTTTAAGTTGCCCCTTGTTGGAAGAAAAATGACAGTAAGATTAACGTCCAGGAATTCACACACAAAAAAAGCCACCTACGTGTTTCAAATTTTTCAGCATGATCTTGGTCCTGAAGTACCACCACACCTTTATTGTGACAGCACTGGGTGTTTGTCCAGTAAAGAACATGTTATATGATTTGAGAGGCTAGTGCTTGAGACACTGTCAAATACTTTCAATAATTTTGTTAAATGTCCCTCCCCTTCAACTGGTCAACCACAATTTTTTCCTCTCTAGCACAAAAATCATCCTTCAGATTCTCATTCTCACACGGGTACTAAAAACCAAACATATATCCTATTTCCAATCTGCCATGTATTCTTTTGTACATACTTGGCTCATAGGTGTTTAATTGCAAAATGAATGTTCATAACACTCATAGGGACTTTTAGAAGCGATATCAAAACTTGAGACTGAGGTTACCGCAACTAACTTCACAGCCAGTACTGGTTGGCAACATCTGAGAGATATAATCAGACACCGTAATACAAGTCAGAAACACTAATGTGTACATTAAAGGTATTACTATTTTCTGAAATTATACATTTTTAATTTAAAGAGCAAGTAACTTTCAATTGTGAAGGGATGTTATTCCACAGCACCACTGAGCGCCTCTTGGTATATGGTCGCGATTCTATCCACGGATTCTATGCCTTTCATTTAATTAACTTTGGATCAAAAATGCTCCTACCCTGGTGACCTCTGTACTATACATATACAGACTTTTGTTTGTCTTAATTCCGTAAACAATACAGTGCGATAACTACTTACATAGCATTTACATATATTAAGTGTTGCAAGTCATACGTGAGGTCTGATAAAAATATATGGTGAATATTTAAATCTTAAAATTTATTACAGTAAAAGACACACTGTCATTAATCCTCCTCAAAACACTCCTCTCTGGTACATAAGGAACTTGGGCAACCATGTGGGCAGGGACCACAATATATGTATATTCATATTTATATTTGTGTAGTGGTTGCTTTGCCCTCCCCAAGTGTGAGTTCCACGAGAGGAAGAATTTCGTTTCTTTTGCTGCTGAAGCCCTAACATCTGAAGCTATGACTGGCACACAATAGTGTTCAAAGGGGTCCCATACTGCTGAGGTCCCAAATGAGAGCCCCTAAAATAGAATCGTTATTTCCTCAAAGGGCCCAACGATGCTGATTTTCATTTAAGGATCCTTTAACTCAAGTGTTGGGGTCTAGTCTATAGAGCCCAGCTTTGATCTGAACAGTGAAAAGCCAAATCAGGTGGACCAATCAGATTACACAGGTGTCATCCTGACCACACATGAAACATGCATCTCTGGATGCACTGTGGCATAGGTAAGCTCTGGCTTGGCTAAAGAGTCACCAATTTCATTTACTGCTTTACACATTTCGGTTCATCAGTTGTGGAATGTTCTTCTTCCCTGTCCGTTACTTTTTCCCGCAAGCCCGCTCTGATCACTGTCCCCGTGTCCACGGCACTCAGGACCCCTCCTTCTAACAGTCACACACATCACAGAATCACACAGCTTTCTCTGGTAACTACTTGTCTCCCTCTCTCTAGGTGTCACACTCTGCTGGGGCAGCGCAGGGCCCTTCTTCTCTTCCACCCCTGATCAATGCACACAAGCATTTAAATGCTTATAGAACGGACTGAATGAACCTGCCATTGATTAAAAATGTGAAGCCCAGCAAAAAATAGGAACAACAAAGGAGCTGCATTCTGGTCTCTGACAGGTCCATAATGGGAGAGCACAGCGACTGCAAGGGGGCTATTATATATGGTGATAAAACAGTCCAGTTTTTAAACCAGGGAAACAAAACTAATTGGGGGGCGTTTGTCTCCCAGCACCTTGAAGGTGTGTCCCTATAAAGTGGCCAAGTTTGGAGGGACAGAGGGGTTTGCTTGCACAGGAGACAGAATGGGCCACTGCAGAGACCTTGGAAATTGGGAAGCAGTGTTTAATAGCAGTGAAGAGCACAATGAAATGGAAGACTTGGGACAGGGTGTAGCTCAGGGGTAGAGTGCTAGCCCAGGCAGAATTAAAGCCCTGAGTCCAGTCCCCAGCAAAAGGAAAAGGAGGGAGGGAGGAAGGAAAAGGGAACGGGAAAATGAGAGGAAAAGACAGAAAGAGGGAAGATTTAGACCCGAATCCTCCTTTACTAAGTATCCTGCATAAGTCACTTCCTGTGCTGCGGCCTCTGTTTCTCCATCTGTAAAATGAGGAAGGCAGGACCTGGGTCATAGTGCACCATGAAGGCGCTGCGGAGTTATCAACAAAGCACTCTGGGAACAGCGGGGTGCTATATGAACATGACTTGCAGCCTCCACCAAAGAGCCCTGTGCACTTCTCAGGAAGAACAGGAAGCACAAACGCGAAGGCTCTGAGTGAGGCCTGTAAGGTCCTGCATATATGGACCCTAACCCATCAGCACCACTCCCCTGTGAAAGCACACGGCTACCGGTGAAGGCCACTGCACCTCGGGCTCAACAACTCCATCTTCCTCTACCTGCCCTGTGGGCCAGATGACCCACTTCACACTGTTTTCTTCATTTACCTCTGTCTTGGAAGCAGCTGTAGTTTCCCACTGGCTACCAGAGTTCGCAATGCAAGGCAGGGAGGTCAGTGAGCCCTACGTGGGTGCCCTGTCTCCACCATGGTGGTGGCTGATCAAGCCCCGCAGGCCAGGCCTCCCCTCCATCACGGCCACAGGAGGCCTTCTACGGAGCCAGAGCACAGATCCCCGAGGAGGTCACCTCCACTCACTCTGTATCTCCGTCACTCACAACAGCCTGTGAGCATGTACATGATCCCTTCTCTTTGTGGCAGGGTGATAGCAAGGCTGGTGGCACAGCAAGCGAACCTGGGACCTCCATGCTGTTCACGACCCAAGGTGGGCACGATGGGGAGGGGAGGAATGCGGAAAGGAGCTGGTGAGGATCCTAAAGACAAACTCATGACTCCTTCGATTTTCGCCTTGGGCTCACCCACACACAGATGCAGCACTCACACAACAGCCAAGGAGTGGGTGTGAAGAAAGGGTACGGGGCTTGTGGGGTGGGAAGGAAGGAAGGATCACATATGTACGGGCAATGATGGGACAGTAAGTACAAGACGGAGCGGGGGAAAAGGAAAAGAGGAAAATGACAAACAGAGTCCAGATGACAATGTTACTGGTATTTATGATATTACAGCTCACTGCATTCTATGTTAAGCTGTTAAAGTACCACTTTGTTACTTTGCCTTAAGATAACAACTTGCTATTTTGAGAAAACACAGACTTGAAAAAGCGGAACAGAATAATAGCTGACTGTTCAGATTTCACAGTTTTAAAGAAGTGAGTCTGAATCTTTAATCCATTAGATTGAAGTGTGTGACTCTGGGAAAGTTACACAGCCTCTCCGTTTCCTCATGTACTCTCACAGGCTTTCCGTGAAGATAAAATGGGGTCAAAAAAGGCCGGGCATGGTGGCACACACCTGTAATCCCAGCACTCAGGACTTCAAGCAGAAGGACCACTATGAGTTCGAGGCCAGCCTGGGTACAAAATGAGTTCAAGGCCAGCCTGAACTAAAAAGTGAAACCCTGCCTCAAAAAGATAAAAAAATAGAAAGGGATCAAATATCTGAAAACCTCTGCACAGAACTAGCCACAGCGCAAGACTCCATCAATGTTACGTGCTGTTCATTATTCTCTTGCAGATGTGGATGGAACACAAGGCCTTGCACATGCTAGGAAAGAGTGGATCAAGGGCCCTCCCCCTAGTCTCAGTACTCCTTGGGGGGTGTGATATGAGCAGCAAGGATCCAGCAACCCTGGGGCTCTCCACACCGGCCAGGGGGTACGCCTTTCCTTCTCCCGCACAAAGGGCTGCTTGGCTGCCCCAGTGTGCTTTTACACAGGGCTTCTGTCAGGCACCAGGGCAGGGCCAGAATGAAAGAGGGGTATGAGACAGGGAACAGAAGCAGGAAGCAAATCCTGAAAGAGCACACACCTCTGGGCACACTCACCGAGTCTGGGTCTCGCTGCTGCTCGAGAAAAGCTGAAAATTCCACCAGGCGAAGCTTGGTTGTGCCAATGGAGCGGCCCTGCCAGGCAGGGACAGAGGGAGCTGGGGCTGACGCAGGCTCAAACCCTGAAAAACCAATGTCACCTTTATATCTGGCCTGTGTCGCCCCCAGACCTCAGCCTAGCGCTGTGTGGTTTGAAAGGGATGACCTCAAAAGGAAAGCCAAGAGCCCCCCAGGAGCATCTAAGCAGAACTCAGCCAGGCAGCGGCCACATCAGGCTGAGGCTCCGTGAGAGAGGGAGCAGCTGGACAAATGCAGTGCATAAGCTCCTCATAAAGCCAACTGCAGCTAAGGTTAAGGGGTAGTGGCAGGAGGACATTTAATCGCGGAAAGGATCCCAATTAAGAACCAAGCCAAGAACGGCTGAAGAGCTAGACAGAAGCTTCCAAACACCTGTGAGACCCGGCATGCCATGCAGTTCTTGTACTCATCCACCTTATTCCTTAAGACTGTGGGCACCAAACTATACACTATTCCCTCGGGAGGCTCCAGCCCTGAGGAGCACAGGGCACCCTATGAGGGAGTTTTTCACTCGGGGTCACTACAGTGGGCAGCAATGACTTTTGTACCGCACTTCGAGCAGGTCAGCTGAGTGCCTGTGGGTGAGGAACAGGTGGTATGGGTAGGGGCAGGTGCACCTGGTGAGGCGCGAGTCAGGTGGGTCCACCCAGTTCCTGATTTCTGCTTTGGTTTCAGTGGAAGCTCTCCTTTGCAGAAGGGCCCTAGGAAGGGGAATCTACTTATCTAGGAAAGTGAGAGTATAGCCACATCTGTGCTCACGACTCAGACTGCCTAATCCAGCCAGTTTATGAGGAGGAAGGAACCACAGCTTCCCCTTCTAAGTGTGACCACCGCACCCAGTGGAAATGATCCACCTTCCTGTTTCTCTACAAACCCTTCTGAAGAGCACTCGGGAGATGAGCAAGGGGACTTAGGCCTAGGGTCAGGGACACCCCTTGCGGCCCTCCTGAACTCCAGGCTACCACCATCCTGCAGGAAAGCATGAGTGCAAGTGGTAGCTGACTCCCAAGTGAGAGGAGACATGCGGCTGTGGCAAACATGGCATCATGCACCGCCCCCCAAAGAAAGCTGAGAGACTCACCTGGAATGGGGGCTGTGACTGCAGGCTGGATGGGGTAGGCCTGCTGCACGAAGGGCTTGACACTAGGGACAAACAGGTGACAAGAGTCATAAATCACGGGCACACATGGTCCAGGCCTGCCCTGGCCTCTCAGCGGGGACCCTACATTGTACTGTTCCCCGCCTACAGGGAGAGGCAATCCCAGGCAGGGCTCTGTGGACAGAGGCAGTCGCTCTCTCCAACTAAGAGAGGCCAGCAGGCTTCTGGGGATCAAACCATCACACCTCATGCCAGGTACAGGACAAGGTGGACAAACATTAGCCTGATTTTCATGGTGGTGACATTTGCCTCTGAACTTCTTTTCATCCCCACCGAGACTGAGGTCAGCAGGTACTATGTTCAGGCAAGTTCTAGAACATGCTTCAGCTTCTCCTGCTCTGGGCATTTAGTTCGAATTCTTTTAGTAGACAGACAGGGATTCCTTTCCACTCTTATTCTCGAACTGCTCTTCTCTTCTGGTGGCCTGAGCCAGCTTTCCTTGCCCCCAAAGCATCTGCAGATGTTTCTATTAGCCATCCCACCAGAGGGAAAGGCAGAATCAAAAGTGCTATAGGATTCCCTCTGCTGCCCTTTTCAGGTGAGGAAGACCGCAGGCTCTGCCCTCCAAAGCCACAAAGGAACCGGGACCAACTTCCTGTTTCCAGCAGGATGACCATCAATAGCTAAGTGGGGAGTGAGGCACTCACACCTCTGCTAGATCTGAGAGGTCAGTCTCTTTCCTGCTACTGACTTCAGGAGACTACAGGATGGGCTGCTGCAGGAATCTGTTTAACCCTCCTTTTCTCTCTAAGCCCTGGCACAGTTTGGTGCAGGGAAGACTTTCCCCCAGGGTAGGCTGTCACCAGCTGCAGACTTACTCTTGAGAGGATCCTGGTTGCCCTGTTTGTATCATTCCAGGCCAGAACTACAAGGCAAAAGCAACAATATCTTAAGCACAGTTCAGGATGTGTACACACTAACCCCTACTGAAGGACGGCAGGTTCCCATTTCCTACCAGCTGTAGTAGCATCTTCCCTATCATGGATGTGGTCACCACACACTGCACAAGATCACAACCTATCCTTGGCCTTGCAACCCAGGGCTCCTCTTAGCCCCACCGCCCTGAAAATCCTCCCCAGGGCAGGAGAGCAGGCGGTTGGTGTTTAGTTCTCATTTCACCTAATGGAGAATGTGTGTGCAGCGGAGGACTGCTTCTTCTACACACATGCCTCTCTTCCTCCTCTTCCTCCACGCTGAAGTGCTCCCTGAATAATATTCTGCTTCAATGGTTTGGAACATCCAAGGCCCAGGGGAAGAGTGGACACAGCCCAAAACAAGAGGGCGAGTTCAGAAAAGCAACACAGGCCCCCATTGTGCTGTGAGTGCCCCTGAGGCCTCTGGTGTCTGTTGTTCCTCACCAGGAACAGAAGATAAAGGGGGAACGGCACCTTTCCAAGTCACACAGGCCTGGGGCTAAACCCTAACATCCCTATGCATTTGCCTGCGGCCAAGCTGCCCGAGCTCTTGTTTTGCTCCCAGGCAACCTCAGTTCTCTCATCTGTGAAATGGCAACAATAGTAAAAGGCATTTAGATGGTTGTGAGGATTGAAAATGATTATAGCATAATGCGTCTCTGCCTTTGGTATATGGTAAAATGAAAATACTAATAGAATACTTTGTCTCTTTAGGAGCTAAGTGCCATAAAGTGACCTGAGGATGCAGGGACAGAGACCATGGGCCAGGAAAAAAATAAACGACTGAGAGAGCAGAAGAGGCAGGTTACAACCCGAATGGGAACCAGAAATGTGATACTTAATTCCCTGTCTTCAGGAACTAAGGATTCTCTCCCTCTTCCCCTTTCTCTGTTCGTTCCCTTCTTTCCTTTCTGACCTTCCATACACCTGACCCAACTGACAGGAAGTGCCAGGTGGAGGGCTTGACGCTGGCCAGCAGCCAAGCCCACACCCCACTCAGCCATCATCACTCCTGGGTCTGCTTCTTACTTACCCCCGGAGCCCCCGGGAAGGTGGGGCGCGGGATTCCAGGCAGCCCCAGCTTGTTGTGAATGGCAGTGGCCGAGACGATCTGGGCTGACGACATGGCGGCCATGTGCTGGAGGGCCTTATCCTTTGCAGTCTGATCCTTGAAGGTGACAGTGACACACTGACTTAATAGAGAACGCATAGCTACCAGGCAGGTTAAACAGCCACAGCCACGAGCACATGGACTAAAATACAGAACCACAAAAGAGGCCGGAAAAGCAAACATGCATGGATAAATAAACACGGCCAGAAGGCTAAAACACACTCAACCTACCCTAACTCTGCACACTTGCTAAGAACACCCAGTGGCAAGGTTTTATTATTTTTTATCTTGTTCCATTTTCTAACAGAATGGGGAAGCCTCTGAGAAGAGTTGACAATGAATTTATTTTTTCAGCTTCCAGAAGATTTCTCCAATTACTGAACATATTAGGGGAACAGGCTGCGTGAGGCCATGCTTACAGCAGGGGAGAGATGTAGTTGTGGACTGGGGACAGTGCTTGGGGAGCTCTATCTGTGTGTGCTCTGGCTGTTATGAGGCCATAGTCCCTGGAGCTGCTGGAGTCATGGGAGGCCGGAAGCCCTGGCAGACACCTGGTGGGGGCAGCTCAGAAGCAGTGGGCAGGTGAGGGACTGGCCAAGCAGCATGCCGGCAGGACGCATGCGTTCTCGCACATCCCCACCATGGGTCTAAGGCTCTAAGGCCTCTTAACAAAAGCCAAGGGCATAGGGGACAAATAGATAGGAGGTTTCTCCTTTTGCTAAATGAGTCTTCTCTAGAAAAGCCAAGACTAGTAACACAAAGCTAGCCAAAAAAGTCTGCCAAGCACAGCTAAAATACAGAATACTCAGTTTAATGAAAATACTTACCATGCTTGTTACCTGGATACAATAATAAACAATTGTTAAAAAGATTGCATACAAAAGCAGGATTACTTTTCTTCTTCAGTTAAAGAAAAAAAAAATATATATATATATGTATACAAACACAGTACTTGGGCACAATAAAATGTAGAGAAGTCAGTCTTTTTTTTTTTTTTTTTTTTTACTTCTTTAACATTTTAGGAATGTGTGCTCTACATGACTATTAAGAAAGCCAATTATCAAGGCCACCCAATAACAGCTACGGTTAAAAATGGCCCCCACTCCCTTAGGCTGGCCGGATACTGCCCGAGGACAGAGGGAGCAATAGTAAGACCCCCACACGTGACAGGCCCTGCAGGCAGAGCTGTGTGCGCTCAGTGTATGAAGAATCCTGGATACAGGCAGAGGGTCTGTGCTCCTGGCCCAGACACCATCAAAGCAAGAACAAAATGATGACATCTGAACAATGTAAGGCCTCCATGGCTGCCCTAGGAGCTAGTGGTAAGGTACGGTGACAGGCAGCTGCAGATTCAAACACTGGACACCAGCTGAGGGGCAGCCTCTATGTTTACAGAGCCAACCAAAGGTGAGGAGTAAACACACTGAGGTGCCAAAAGCAAGGCCAAGAGGGATGTGAAAGATTCTCGGCCTGCAAAACAACTCTGGGGCGTCTGAGAAAGACCCACTGGGTTCTATTTATTCCAAGGCATGGGTACCACTTTGCCCTGTAACTTGTCAGGATCACCATGTGAATTTCTCAGGAAGTTTTATTAACCCTTTAAAAACAGCCCTCCCAACACACACACACACACACACACACACACACACACACACACACACAGAGGAGAGGAGGGGAAAAGGAGAAAGAGAAGAGGAGGAGGAGCAGAGTTGACCTAAGGCTTGCATAAATTGTTATTCTATACATTTGTATGGCTCACAACTAAAAGTGAATAAGCCTCAAGTACAGCTCTCCATGGGTGCCCACAGTCACTATGACCATCTGTAATAGCACATGTGGGAGCGGAGGGACACTGGGATTGCTGGTCCTGGTGGGCAGAGCCCCAGGTGACTCAGTGCTGTTACCTCCTTTTTATTGTGTGGCATTTTTCCAGGTGAGGCTCCATTTACTAGTCTGTTAAATGCTCTAACCTGAAGCCAGCTTCCTCAGATAACAAAACACAGCTCTGATCACACTTGCTACATCCATGCTCAAGAATAGCTTGACATCAATGCCAACTTGGCTTCTCTTTGGACCAGTCTCATTGGACTCGAGCCCTGAAGCCACTTAACCCCTTACAAGAGGTTATAAAGCCTCTTAAAGTGATTTTCTGAAATTGAGGTAATAGCATAGGTGTGACCACAGGCGCCTTCCTCAGCGTGCAAAAGCCCTACAACTCCTCTGGCACCTGGGCTAGTGGGCAGGCCTGGTGGTATGAATTCTGAAGAAGTACAAAAGGGCTCGTGGACATGGGTCTGTTCCAGAAGAATGTGGTAGGGCTGCAGCAGCCCTGTGCCTTCTGGATTATGCAATGCTGACGACAGGTGATTCTGTTTGCCCAAGTACAGGACCTGCCGGGCACTCTGGGGTGGGGCAACTTGAGAAACCAAAGTCCAGCACCAAATGGAAAGAGTTCCCTCCATTTCCATCACCCGGTTTTTCTAGTAAGTGTTGCCTGGAATGTGGCACTTTGCCAGGCTTATTGAAAAGTTCCTCAAAATTTCACAAAAGCTTGGTATTTCTGTTTGGAACAGAGACATCAACCAGTGTGGGAAAAGAGAAAAGGAACTCTTGCTTTTTATGTCACACAGCCTCAGAACATGATCTTTTTCTTCTGTTTAATGTTTGACTCTTATCTGTCTAGCTTCCTAAATAAAAACAAGAGTTCAGAAAAAGTCAAAGGGGAAATGAAACACGTTTAGGGCGTTAACTGTGCCTAAGACAGCAATAGGTACAGGTGTCTGGGAGGCTAGAGACCTGGGCTCCAACCTGCCCTGTCTGACAGGCATGAGCTATGTTCCATGCACTGTGGCAGGCGACTTTACCACCCTCTAATTTACTTCATCTGCCAAACAAGGAGGCATAGCTTATTCTCTAATGGCCTTTTGGTTTTAAAAGTATTTGTAGCTACGAGGGTGAGGTCCATTATAAAACAAACATGTCTTAATATATAGCCAAGAAAATTACTAGTGGGAAGACAGCAAGATGTTGAAAGTGTGGGCAGCTCTTAGCTGCCTGTCCTGATAAAAGACAAAGCCGAGTGCAGAAAGAAAATTTTATCTCAAGTAGTGGCTCTTTCTGCACTTGACCTACCTATCCGAGAATAGGCAATTTTCTGCAAATGGACTAAAATGTCTATACCAATGATTTCTCACCTTTTGTAGTGGAACTACTCTATTCACTTAATTTTATAGTGTGGCCCCTTCATCTATGATATACATGTGAACATTAAGAAGATTAATTTTCTTTTTGGTGTTTTTAAAAATCTAAAGTAACCTTGAAGGGAGATAATAAGCACCTCCAAGACTACCTGGAAATCAGAACTGAGAGCCTGTCCGCAGACCCACTTACCCTGAAATGGGAGTTAGAAAGAATGCAGAGTTAAGAGATTTCAATGGACAGATCTCTCAATTGTCACTTTCGTCCCAGAGATACAGGCCTGGGTTTGGGAAAATTAGAACTCTAAGTGTCAGACCGGAGTAAATTGCTTCTGTGTCACTCTGGTCTAATATCCCGGCCTTTTACACATTCTACTCCATTCTTTCCTTCTACCCCCATGCTAAAGGGGAAGAAGTCAATCTAGCCAATAAATGAAGCTCAAGCACATCTAAAAGCCTATACTATCCTTGCACACAGTTTAATTTTAAGATGCACTCACACCAACATCTGAGTGGATGAAATTTACAAAGGATGAGCATGTTGTTTTATCTTGAAAAACTGCGATTAAGTCAATATTGAGTTATGTTCTACAATGTCTTATATTACAGGAGAGAAAAGGAGGGGTGAGGTACACAAACAGATGAGTAGCAGAAGAAAATGTGTTCAAGAAAAAAGCTTGGACAAGTTCACACTGCCTCCTTCTCACTGACTCTAAGCCCCTGTATCTCTAAGATTAGGACAAAGCCAGAAAATAGTGAACATGTGGGCACAAAGCTGGGGGCAGAGAGAGATGGCAAGTCTCCCCCTTGTAACTGAACCCTAACGTAAGCTTGACCTGCAATAAGGAAAACGATTATACAGGAGGAATCGTGAGTCCTGAGACTGTGAATGGGGTGGTAGGATGAGTGCTAAGAACAAATGTGGGCAGACAAAGCACTCTGACTCGAGGTGCATGGCTTATTACATATTGTATTCCTCACAATCCAATTTCTGGCACACCATACCATCAATAGCCTCACGGCCGTGGTCCAGCAGGCTGTGTCAGGCATAAACTCCTCAGTCCGGAGCCTTTCAAATTGCTGTTGTTACTAAGTAAACAGGCTTTCATATTTCATGAAGCAAGGCAAGAAGGGCGCTACAACTCTGTTCTGCTGACTGCCTTCTCTTTATGACTGAAACGGACACAATGTCCGGAAACTGTCTGTGTGTGACAGTACCATCACAAAGACACGCCGCAGGAACAGGGTGCTTTCAGAACTCCGGAATATCTTAAAAGATCAGACTCCGGATATCACAAGGATGTTATCCTCCTTTCTCCCCTTTGTTTCCCTAGCTTTCAATTATTCCGTGAAATCAATCATCTCATACTTGTTAGGCATTAACCATAGACAAATTGTAAAGGTAACATACAAAGGTCACATGCTTGCAAATACAACACATGATAGCTGCTATACATGGGATGTTAATGAACAGCACACAAAAATCAACATAATCCAGTTTATTCATGGGCCATCGTTCCAGAAGTTAGATTCTAATTTAATTTATTCATAAGGATGTCTACCAATATATCAGGAAAAACACAGACCATGAATTCAAAAACTCTTGATAGCTATTAATGTTTTACTCCAAAGTATACTTCCCACAGCAATATAAAAATATGATGCAAGGTTGGAAAGATAGCAGTTGGCTTGAAGATTACTTTTTTGAGAAAAGTCAAACATAAAATATCTCCCTAAGAAGTAATTTTGCAGATGTTGTTTCTAATCATGCACTATCTGAATTCACATGATCTCTGCAATTATTAGCCATAGCCCTTGAACAGATAAACATCACCGAACTGTATGATGGTTCTGGAGAAAGGATGGAGGGCACTTGAATCTTTTTCTAGCCATGATCTCTCATTTGCTTATTATTAGAGAAGGCAGGAATAAATACAAAAGAGGGCTATTCTGGTCAGGCAGCAGCTAATGTGGAGGAGAGAAGGCACATTCATACTTCTTCTGACTTGCCGCCTAATGAGTAGCAATTAATTCATCTTATTGTATTTCCAAATGCCAAAGACTCCATTCACATCAAAGAAAAAATTTTCAAGGCTTTTACCATTGTTCATTTTTAAATGTACTGAGCTATATTTAGTATTTTATAATTGTCCACAGCATTTCCTTTAATTCTGATGTGGGCTTAGCATCATAAAGGAGTGGAGATGAAGGCACTGGTGAGTATTCCTTATGACTCTCGGAAGCCTGCATGCAGGACAGCTTCAAGTCACATCTGGGTGTTTGGGAAAGGGCATGCTTAGACTTTAGTCTCTTTTTACCCGGTAGCTAACAGCAAAAGGCAGGAGGTACCTGTCCCTTGGGAGGTCAGAGGAACCCGCCTAGATATGAGCTCCAGAAAGAACTTGTGCCCCTACTTGTTCTCCTTCCTCAGTTTCCTTTAAACACATGGACACAAGTGGAAGGGCTTAGCGGGCGGACATGAATCCTCTTCCCCGCTCTCACCAGCACTCTTTACAGAGATAGCGTGACACTGCGCAAGGGCATTGGGCTTTGGCCCACTAAGCCCAGGATCCGACTCAAATTTTTGACCCTTGCCAAGTCACACAGACATTCTGAGTCTCAGCTTCCTTTCTGACAAAGCA